AAATATTTACTGTAATTATATTATTTTATAAAATATTAAAAATTAAATACTTATGGGGCTTATGACCCGTACCTCAAAGCTTACGCACCACTGAGACATATGTAAAACGTCTCGTCATACGCCCACGCCTTTTAAAACACCGCATCTAACTTGAACCAGGTTCATGTGTTCATACATAAGATTGTAGCAATGGCTTTTCCTTTTGGCATCTTTTCCAGTTTTACGTTTCTTTTTATAGTGCACTAATTTCTACTAAACGAAAAGTCCCAATAAAGACTAGAAAAATTAACCTAGAATACGATGGGCGTCAAAAGGCTGAATTACAAGTCTAATAAATTTTATCCCATCGTAAACTAATCAAAAGGATCTTTCTAATAATCCGAAATAATTGTCATGTTCACACTTGGGCATTGTGGTCTATCACTGATATACGTATTTTGACTTTACCTACGTTGGAATTTAATAGATTCACCAATAACCAAGCAAGTACAAGATAAGTAGATAACTGACTAAAAGAAACCCAAATCAATTTTAGAAAATTAAAAAGTGAAACGTTAAGAACTTTGAAAAGGTCCATGCGCTAAAGTGAACCGTCACTAATCAACGTAGACAAACATGAAGACTTTTAGCAATTTTCTAAAGTCAGTTATAAATTAACGTATGGCATTTAGAAATAGAATAAATGAAGAAAAAACTGAACTTAATTGTACAAAATTAATTTCTTACCAAGATGTACTTTTTTCTTTTGCTACGAGTTTGCTTATATTTTTCTTACCTTACGACCCGTTATTTTGTCCATAAAAATTTCCTTTTTTCATTTTTTTTCTTTCAAAAAATGTGTTTGTCCATGAAAATTCGTAAGTTTTTATAGATTTTTCAAAAACAAAAAACTGGTTTGACAACTTTTTCAAGTTTCCCGGAGAAGACTTGTTTTCCCACTCACAAACCTGTAATATTTTTCAAGTGAAAATACATGTCCAAATATAATTTTAAATTTTAAATATTATTTTTTAATTTAATTTTAAATATTACGTTTTTTTTTTGAAAATCTAATTTTTTATGTCCAAACGACTAATGGTATTGTAGGGGCAAGGTCTGCGTATACACTACCCTCCCCAGACCCCACTAGTAAAATTATACTGGGTTATTGTTGTTGTTGACTAATGGCATTGTAGTCTAAGAATAAGCAAATAGCCAATTGCCACCATTAAGCCGCTCTTCGCTGCCAATTAGCTTGCTGTAGAAACTGGAGAGCAGCCAATTTCTGTTGGAATATGTGGGTGATTTTATTAATTTATGCTTTTATTGGAATGTTTTCTAGTATTTTCTCCATTTTTAAGTATTCTGTTTTAAAGTCACGTTGATAAAAGAGAAACATAAACATACACATGGTGAATTTTTAGGCAATAGTAGCTCAACAGGTGTGTATGGGAGGAAAAATAGATCCGCCACATGGACTAATAATGTGCTGACAAGTAGCAAGCATGAGAGTCAAAGCAATAAAAAAAAATGAAGGTTAAGAGAATCATGGGTAAAAAAACCAATGGAATTGTTTACAAAGATACCGCATTTGACAACGGAAAAAGAAGAGATAAGTGTGGGATGCATAATTAAAGGCTACAAGGAAGGAAGACTCATTAATAGCCACGGATATGGAAAGAAATCGATATAATCCCTCATTGTGCTCGATTGACTATTTTTATCATAACCGTTACAAATTACTCAAGTAACGGGCAATCAATGTAATAAATATTTGTAATGGGCGAGAATTAAGCAATTACATATTGTACCCTTATATATAAACCCCTCCCCCTACCATATTTTGTACGATCATCAAGGAATTCACGAAATTATACTACTATCAATTACTTACATTTTTACTTTCTGCTATATTAGAAGATCTTATTCTGGAAGGAAGCTGCGATTATCAATAAGATTCTTTTTTCCTTATTCTCTCAATATGTTTTTTTCATTATTTGATATTCAACTATATTAGAAAAAGTGAAATAAAATTGATTATTAGAAACCCGAATTATCTTTTTATTTGTTTTGACCACAAAAATTACTTTTTGGTTAAGCAAATTGATTCCGTTACCGGAAACTCTAATATTTTCACTTTCCATTTACATATTTTGTCTTTAGTAATAAATTATGTCTACCACTAATGAAATTGTTCCGGTGGAAGATGGACGACAATGAGGGGCTCCTCCACACCACTCGCACACATACTCCACCGCGTTCACGAGAAAATTCACTTGTCAGATCTGCTAATCGTAATGCTGGACAATAAATTGACGAACAATCAAATGAGCAAGATAACTCGAAGTAATTTATTACTCAACAGATTGGTGAAACCTCGCATGATTTCGCAAGTGAGCTGTCGAGTGTTGTTCAGGCTCCACCACCAGTTAACATAACTATGGAAAATCCTCATTCAGGGCTAGAAGTGGGAAAATACCAAATAATTCTAGGGCCCGAGGGTCAGGTACGCCATATAATTCTAATTTACAAAATCTAGTACTGACCTTGCAGAAACAACTCAAGGAACAACACGAGTGGATATAATAGATACCGGAAGTATCACCCGTGATTAAAGAAGTGGATATTGACAAGTATTCACAGCAACCATGGAAGCCAAGTGC